TTCTTCTGTCCCCAAGGTGGCCGTTGTGGAGAGGCTCAGTTGCCCTAGGTGCGAGTACTTTAGTGCACCTCATATCACACCAGACGTATCCCTACGTTTCTCTATCTCACGTCCGTCCATCTTGGTGAGCCAGGCAGTTGACGTGATTTCACTGGATTACCTTGTACAATAATTCACACGAATTGAAAGGAAAACAACAACGAAAACATAATTATGATAAATTTAAGTACCTAATAGTGTCACTAGTGACAAATATGTTGACACTTACTCCGGAGATGGCCATGGACTCCCTTATAGAAGCTCTTTTATCAGGATCACGGTACGTGTGTACGTGCACGTTGCACGCTCACGGGGTTAAATTTTGTGGATTGGCATCTTTGGAGGAGGTTAAAATTCAAATGACTTCGCTTAGAGATGCTTCCATACTTCTAAGAGTTTTACTCAGGTTATTGAGCCGCAATAACTAATGACGCTGTGTTAGAATTGCCAAGCCAGCGTAGCTGGCGACATTAGCGGACGAGGGCTGTAAACTCAGGCGAGCGCTACATTTTTTGGCGGCGGAGCGGGGAGAAGATTGGGAACAAGGATTTTTCGTCGTGCCTTCCCCGCATGCGAAAATCCCTTGTTCTGCCGTCAGATAAAGTATCCCGGCATAATAATCCCAAGCTAAGCAGGCTAAGCAATGCTACCTCTTATAGGGTTCGATGTGCAGAGTGCGGGGAAGAGAAACCGAGGTGCGACTTAAAATAACAGGTTAAATTGTATCTTATCTGTTTATCTATGCTCTCCTTGGGTCAGTAATTCGGTTACTATTATTAATCATTCTCTAAATGTCTGCGTGACCGAAACAGCTGATCCTCTTGCCGCTAAGTCATTCGCCCAACGATTATTTTGTGGGGCTACTTTTTGGGCTACTGAGCTGTTGTTAGGTTACCCTGGGTTCTAGAGGATATTAGGTATTTTGAGAACGGACCTCTGGAGCAAGGGCATTGTCCTGAGGCTGCCGATCTTCCATATTTGGCAACGGATTAGCGCGTTGTAAAAGATAAGCCGGAAGATTTAAATATACCCACCAGAAACAGCTACCATTTTGAATGGAAAATACTTCCAGAGTTCTTCAGCCAACTGGATTCTCGTCTACCATTGATATAAATACTACTCTGTTCTTATAGCGCGGAGAGTTTTTATTGACACGATACGAAGGATAAATCTGCAAATAACCTGAAATCTAGCACACTGTACTGAAAGAGCTATATGTAGGTCTTAACCGCTACGTCCGGGATAATCGACTCCTGGCACGTTCAGGCTCAACCTCAAGAGGCCCACTTGATTCTAAAATTCCTCCTTGGCCTCCTCAAAGTAGTATGTTTGGTTACCGTCACAATTAAGTACTTTCACTTTTCTTCCGCTCTTTTCTCAGAACTTCCGTGGTGTTTCTTGGGGCCAACCAAACGTCACTTTTAAAATGACTTGCGCTTTTTCAACTGTCGTTGCGTTTATTCCAACTCATTTAAAAAGTCAAATGTAGGCGAATTTCCCAGGAGTTGAATTCGTGGGGACTATCACTCAAGTTAAGAAAGAGAAAGAAAAATTTGTCGTCGTGTGCCAGTACTTCCTCCATAACACGTCGCATAAGGAAATTTCATGTTGCAGTCGTGTCAGTATGTTGCCCAGTATCCGGACACTTCAGTTTAACATTGCAATAACTTTCCTTTGTTAGTCGCAAGAGCTCTGAAATCTGGCCCAGAGTAAATCTATTTAGTCCTTAATGTGACAAAAGACAGTTTAACTTTTTTGCCTTTGTTTCCAGCGTGAAATTAATATTTTTGCAGAGCTCCTATGTTGCCCAGTGTCCGGACAGCTGGCCCAGTATCCGGACACAACAATAACAACGTAATTGTACATAAATTTCGACAGGCAAGCGACTTATAAGCCTCTCTTGCACTTGCAAAGTAGTCTGGCAATCGATTCCAAAAATATCATCTAGCATCGAGAAATAAAACATAGCAAATGACTGGGGTATGGTGGGGAACGCGAGCGGTTGTTAAGGTGGCACAATTCTTACTTCCTTGTCTAGGACATTTTTCACTGATTTAAGGAAAACATCCGCGGACATGCCGAAGCCGCGGTTTGCTAGCTCAATTAGCCAATCTGCAAACGACTTTTTTTCTTCATTTTTTATTAAAAAAAAAAGCTTGGGGAAGGGACCTCAATGCGACGGTCAAAGGTCACTCTCCTATTTAGTCTAACTCCTTCATGCTCAGTCCCGACAGACCCTACAATAAGCCTGATATGCTAGTACTAATTCCTCCTTCTTTCACATCTCTCAATCCCTTTCTGACATTTTTCAGACCGTTGCAATCCCATTCTGGCAGTCACAACTGGGGAAAGTATGAGAATTCCAGGTTCAACTCCGACGCTTTCGATTACATATAGAAAATGCAGTCACGCGAAACAAGCGGCGCACACGAAATCAAGTCGCCTCCGAATGAGTGAAGGAAATCTCTGTACGGAGTTCAGTAGAATTACATTTCAGTTACGACTATGTCATATGTCCTAAGCTTTAATTATAGTTATAGATATGAAATAAATCTTATCCGGATAATGTACACAGCTAATTCATCGATTCTGTACAGCAAAGAAAAAACTGTCCGGATACTTGGCACCTGACATCAATACTAGTGAATGTTTCTGGGCTCCGTTATTCCAAACAAATCGAATTTCAAGAAGAATTAACAAACTTTCTGAGAACCTGACAGCTTTTTTAAGTATCTTCACTTTAAATATAAAACCGTTTCTTTGAAAATACCCCATATTTATACCTACCCTTTTCTGAGCAGCACTAATTTTACTGGGCAGTAAACAGCGTAAATATTGGCCATGAAATGTTTATTCACCTGAACAGAACGGCGTCTTCTGCGACTGTTTCGCAAGCTTTCAACTCGCCAAAACCTTCATCTTAAAGCTGAAATGTTCAGCTTTCATTCGAAATACTTCGTGTACAGAGAGCTGAAAAGGGCGCTTCAAAAACTGAGTTTTTGTTTTAATGTCCGGATACTGGTACCGTCCGGATACCGGGCAACATACTGTAACGGCAAAAATTGTTTTTGTTTTGTCATCAAACTGACTATTTTGACGTTATAGTTTCCGTCGCCGTTAAGCCCTTACTTCTTACATTATGCTGAAATAATAAGAAACTTGAATATCTAACCTGAAATTTGCATTCAGACATCCTTGCTGGCAAACAGTTTCGAGTAAATACGGTTACATACGGACGGGGCCAAAGTTTGTACATTCAGTTGGACTAGTTAAATGCCTGCCACTGAGTATTGTAGCTTTTTAATGTTCTCAATTGAGAGAATGACATTCATTATTGATAATTATTGACATTCTCTCTCAGTTGTTGAATGTTGCCTGGTGATACATTGTCATTTTTGTCAAAAGCAAATATTTCGAAATAATTTCAAAAATTCCTTTTAAAGGGCTCTAGAGAATTATTCAAGATACAATATATAGCAAAAGCGGCCGTAAGTCTTCCGTTATAATAGTTCCTGCTTTAATTATATAGGAAAACCGACCAGCGTCCTTCCCCCGAGTAGCTACTTAACCTTTAAAGCATTTCGAAACATTGCCGAAACGTAAGTGTGGAACTAAAAGATTTTCCTATAGATGAAAGGTAAGAATAATCTTTCAACTTAGCGCTAACTAATTTAACGGTTTCATGGTCGGAATTCTTCGGTTTTCTCGTAGTGGCTTCACTACGCAAAATTGCAACTTTACGACTCAAATCTTCGACGTTTTATACTACTGCACGAAATGTTCTTTGAACGACAAGGGATTATAAGCGTCCTTTTTTTACACGGAGAGGAAAGGGGGTTTACCGCTTTTCCTCTGTCAAATTTGAAAATGATACTCGACTTTTTTAATGATTTTGGTGTTCTTTGAGTTTATTTTTAGTCAAAGAAATATTGACACAAAATCGTTTGTTTGATTTCAAAGTTTATTCAGCCCTTGTGACACTACTGACTACCATTTTTTAGCAGAAAAAAGGAGAACCTTTAGGATCATCTTTGTAGGAGCCGGTGTAAGAAACAGATGCGACCACTAAATTTGCTCGCAACGGCCCGTTCATCCGTATTGTAGACTGTGAAGTTCATACACTGATATGAGCATCTCGCGCAGCTCTTATGCAAATAAACGAAACTTTAAAGAAGCTGTAATTTGGTTTTTGTAAATAGTTAGTACTAAACATCAACATTAGCATTTAAATTACCAAGCTCTAAGCAGAGGGCCAACATCCATTTGATCAGGTGTACTACCATTCTGATGTGAGATGAGATGTTCTTTCCTTTATAACATTGAGGCGTTGTCCATACTTATATCGGATTTATATATATAAATGACTATTAGCCTGGGAACTTTTAAAAACTTACGTAATAGGTTTTATTCTTAAGTCACCTTGGCAATAAAACATGATCCTTCATTAAAATAAAAATGCTAATCGAAGTTGTATTAGGAATGCGTGTAATCGGTATTCAAAGCTCCACCAACAAGGTATTTTAGCAATTGCACTTTTGAGGACGCTTTACAGTTGTCCCTAGCCCTGAGCAGAGATTTCGCTTATTTTTACTACTCTCTTTTTATAGTCAAGACGGAAAAACTGTTACATTTGCCAGAAGGGATTCTTAAAATCAAGACGTGACCGTGGTAAATTCCTAGCCGGGCTGACAGCTAATTTTCTGAAAATATCCTTTTAAAGTGGAACCTCTGCAATAATACTGTGCAAATTTTTAACTTGCTTCTTTTTTCTTGAAGCATTGGACCTATTAAGCCCCATTACGTGATTCAGTAAGGGAACACTCAAGTTCCTGTCATGTAGCTTCATGTAGAATGACGCACACCGCACCGCTTCCGATATTACGGATGAGGTTTTGTGGCCCGAGTGGCGGAATATCGATTCACGTTTGCTCTCATGATTAAACATAATGGTCGGGAATAGCATGCCGCAAGGGAAGCAACTACGAGGTAAGATTTCTTATTAGTTGAGCTGAGTATAACCATTTTAACTCTTGCTAATAAATACAATGTTTTTATTGAACTGTTTTGCAATTTCACGTGTCAGTGAACTTCATGCTTTATGAGAGACATATTGCAGTTCGTTTCATGGTTTTATCGACAAAAATAATTCCTTCTCAACATAGAGGCACTTATTGCTTAACTATCATCTGTGTGAGAGAACTGGGGTCATAGCTGATGAATTTAGGTCTCGACCTTACAGCCATAGCCCTATTTACGATTGTCCAACGATGCCAGTTTTTCGGAAAACCAGGATTGCAAATTCTGTCCTCATGTGAGGTATGAGCACAACTCTGATGTGTAGGTTTCAAGTAGGTACTGAACGTAAATCATAAATCTTCACTGCACTGCGTAATATGAAAGGCTAGATTACTTATTTGTGTTTGCGCAAATTGCGGACACTCATCAGTTCATTGCGTGCTGATCCCAGTAGGATGCTTGTTTCCAACGGTCGGGAGTTTGAATCCGTAAGAAATAGTTTTAGCCAAAGGAAGAAAGGGAAAAAAAGGGTTCATATCTATCAAAACCATAGTTTGGAGCCTTAATTTTCTCTAGGTTATGAACAGGATCTCGTCGTAAATCGTCGTTAGGTTTCATGTTTCTCATCCTCGGTGTAACAACCTGTGAAACTCACGAGTGACGTAAAACAATGGATACAAAGAAGCCACTGAGAAGTCAACACAAAAGAGCCAAGGAAAATAATAGCTAGAAAACAAAGTAAAACTTCACAGGTTTTTACACCGAGGTAAACCCTTGACCGTGTATGCTATTCACTGTGTCTTCACCGCTCAGGCAGCTACAAAATAGAAGTAGTGCCACTGCTGCAGCATTAACGTGTTAATTTTTTGTTTGTTCGTAAATCGATAAACACAGGAACTATAACAGGTGCATGGCCAGAGTCAGTTTAGACTTCGTATAAACTGCAAAGACAGGCCTTTTCCTAGCCTCCCAAGCAAACTTTCTAAGAGGAATGATTACGCAACGAACCCGTAAGAACGTCTGCGTGGGAGGCTAGCCTTTTCCTCGTTGTCACACGCAAGATCCGGAGGCCTTAGGTCAACGATGAAGAATATTTTAAAAACGCAAAAAGCGGTGTTAGAAATTTTTTCAGATGTCGGAATACGTACGGTGCGCTCAGTTTCCCAAATCAGCCCTACTCGCCCTGTCCCCCAAATCGTTTTCACGCGGATGACTTGATTAAATTTCCGTTTTTTTGATGAAAATAGTTAGGAGCCTATTAGGGTATAAACTGAAGCTCCAGGTATGGCAAGACTACGATCAAATTTAAAACTGTGTTTTTAGGCAGCAGTTCCGGCTTTTCGCCTGTGGCAAACTCAGACATGTAAAACACTGCATTGTTTTCTATACATTGCCTGAAAGAAGTTAAAGTGGTGTTTCATGGGCAATTGCACAATTTTTTAGCCATTCTTTATTTGCATTTTGTTCATATGACCTCATATCCTCTCTTGCTCTTATTTATCTTTGACAATTTTTCAGGTACATTGTACGCACATGCGTACTGTCCTACAGGTAGATTTGCCCCTGTGCGACAAACGCAGACTGCAGGTTTGCAGACAGGCAGGTAAACATTGTTCTAAAATGCTCTATCCCTAACCCTAACCCTTACCCTTGAAGGCTTGTTTTAGGGTTAATTAGGGTAAGGGCTAGGGTTAGGATTAGAGCATTTTCGAGCAATGTTTACCTGCCAGTCTGCAACTGGTTTGCACCTCATCGGGCAGTTTTTGTTTTGCCGGACTGACATTGACCAAATCGCCGGCAAAGCTCACACAATATTCTTAGCTTATGTTAGTAGACGTCAGTGGTCTACCCAGAAGAGAGAAACTATCGACTCAACCATGCATGATTATTCGGATTTGTTAGCGCGAGGAACTGAAAAGAGAAGTCTTCACTTAATTTATTTCGCCATTCTTCTCACTTCGCTCGTGCACGCCACATAGTAGTCGTTCTCTCTGGTCTCGCCCCTCCTTCGCGGGTGTGATTCTCGGTCTTTTTTCGAGTAACGAAAAGCATTGAACTAGGCTTGGTGCAATCATCTCCCGGGAATCATCTATCGATCGTCATAATTATTCATAATAATTTTGCTTTTTTAAAATGGGGTTGTCAAGGGACATGCTCAATCCACCTTACCTTTAATACTTAATCTGTCATATCACTCTTGTTCGCATGGTGCAAAATGACTCAAAGTGTTGTTATTCAGCCCCTTGTACAGCCGTCCCTCCCCTCAGAGAAAAATTCAGTACCCAAGCTATTGTCATTTTGCTGCAAACAACATCAAGTTAATTTTTCGCTAACTACGCACATTGATATTAGACCTTCACAACTGCGTACAGCAGGTGCTTCAACGCGTCATTGATTTTTCAAGTCCTTATAACTACGGTGTCTGAATTTCTCTCATCAGATCGT